TTTCAAAAATTCCAAACGAATACATCTCCTGCATTTGTTATCGTTATGAATCTATGAATCTCTACTGGGATGATACGCATGCTTAATGGGTGTGTTTTGTAATATTTGAAACATTATAAAACTTCAAATTGATTAGACTAAACTCCATGGGTAGTAGTTTCAGTACTTAACAACACATTAGCTATCATTTTTACAAGTTGAACCTTGGTGAGGAAACAATTTAGGAGGCATCTGTAATTTTGAAGGATAATTGGACCTTTATGTAACTAGGCTAAACTTCAGGGGTGGTTTTGTGATTTAACTAACTTTAGTATTGGTAAGTAATGAATTTGGAGAGTGTACTACTAACCAACTGAGAATTGGAGAGACTTTCTTTTGACCTAAGACCAACACTGAGACCTCCAGTTTCTTCACTTGGCTCATAACTGTAGCCATTTTTGGTCCTTGAATGACTAATGCTTCAACTTCAACCTACCAAACAGTCCCATGAATCAAATAAATTTTAATATGAAAATCAAACCAATTGGTGAAAAAAAAAAGATGAAGGATTCACATGTAAATTTACAAATTATTACAAAAATCAGACCTGTGACTACACCAAAAGAATCATCAAATACACACAAGTAAAAGGACCAAAAAAAAAAAAAAAAAANNAAAAAAAAAAAAAAAAAGAAAGCTACTCACCTCAGGTTTACAGGCTTTACAGAGTGAGCCCAATGAAGTAGCAAGAGATTGAGGTGAAAAATCATGTGGGCCTTTGTGACATTCAGAGGGAGAAACAATGTGGAGTAGAGTGAGAATATCACCCATATTGGCCACATGAGTTAGGGCCCAAACCATTGCATGCTTGGAGTGTGAAGACTGATCCACAATCACCATTACCCTCTTCTTCACCACAAAGAGGCTCCTCCCATTTTCATCCCCACACATGTTTTTCAGCCCATTTATTTGGTTCAGGCTGGGCCCATAATCCCCACTCCCAGGCCCAGTCCATCTCTTGGAAGATGATTTCCATCCTCCCTTGCTCCTAAGCTGACTTAGGTATGAATCTGAAGCTGGCATTTTTTTATTTATTTATTTTTTTTTTCTTTTGGGTTTGAATGTTGTTTTTTGAATTGAGCCACTAGAGGGTCTCTAAAAATTGGTGTTTTCTTGGATTGTATGTAAAAAGTGTGTGTGTTTATGAAAAGGGTTTTGATGGATTATTCATATTTTGTGTGTGTGTGTGTGTGTGTGTGTGTGTGTGG